AGAACATAACGTGCAGTCAATAATGTCAAATATGGACATTTCCCCTCAAAGAAACCGTCGAAAATTAAGACTAGACAGATATGGAAATATTTAAAAAAGCATGATCTAATTTGGTTAAGAATGATTCGCGCTTTTACCATACTCGCAGACATATACAAATATTGCATATTGCTAAACAAAATCCAATTACTTTTTTTATTTATTTTTTTTTTTTCAGAAAAATGAATAAGTTGTTAAGAATTAAGAGGAGATAAACACCTTTTGTTTAGAATTATCGGACTGTTATTGTCCATTTGATACTGTTTAATTAATAGGCTGCCATAATTAGGCCTGCATCTCACGTTTGTGGCAGAAATGTACAAACTAAGCCTTCTCGGTTTTAAATGATAGATTACACCCAGTAGTGTTACAGAAAAAAAAGCCCCATCAATTGGCAAAAGGGAAAATTTTGTAGAAGCCAAAATCCAAAATGGCCGCTGGTTTTGGTATGTAAATTCCAACCATTTTGTGAATTATATTCGCCACCTGCTTCAATAGGCATGGTCAGTTTCCGCAGTCGACATACCCCTACGCCGCTACCGCAGTAAGACATTCCAAATGAAAGTTACTTGATACTGGATGAAGGTCATTGTATTAGGTCTAAGGTAGGGGTATCATTAATATCCTATCCCTAATCGGAAATCTTAATCCCTAATTTGAATTTCTCCTATACTGACACGGGGATTCACTTCATCAATAAAATGTGTACAAAAATGGATACAGCTACCTCGAAAACGTATATTTTGAAACCAAATTTGATCCTTATGTAAAATTCGAATTTTCCCGCCAAAACTGACCGCCATATTGAATAACTCCCAATATTGACCCAGCGGTAACACCTATCACAAAAGTATGTATGGAAATGGATTCAGTTACCCCGAAAATGTATATTTTGATTCCAAATTCGATCATATTATGATAATTGGGTAGAAATTTGAATTTACAATCCAAAACCAGCAGCCATTTTGGATTTTGGCCTCTCAAAATTTTTCCATTTTTTTTTCTGTAACACTACTGGGTGTAATCTATCATTTAAAACCAAGAAAGGTTAGTTTGCACATTTCTGTCACAAAATTCCGGCAGCCTATAAAGCATTAACGTAGTGCCTCTAATGAAAAATTTAAGCGGTATCAAATGGACAATAACAGTCCGATAAATTCTATAAAAAGGAGGTGTTTATCGATATTGTAGCCCAAAGTATGTAAAAAAAATTCTTGGAATTATTTCTTTCGCCTTCTCATAATATCAATTTTCAGGTAGTTCTAATTTTTACAGCAGAATAAAAATACGCGGGAAATAAAGGAATCCCGATCATGAAGTCGTATTATCCCTATTTTTTTTTTTTTTGCGTTCGCCATTCGCTGTTTTACGAGAATCACAGACACCGGCCTGTACCATGTTTTCTTTTGTAGTAATCTTATATTATCCTCAATAGTCTATCATTGTAGAGCCGTTTTATTATAGGCATATACCCTAATAATTTTTTTAGTAACTTTATTTTATCTTCATACTAACTGTAATTTTATAGTCTTGTAAATATAAACATACAGAATTTATTTTGTATTAAACTTTTTCTTTATGTTCTCACTTTAAGAGAAAAAGAAACGAATTAACAAGAGGCGCCATGCAAAATACGTCCTCATATTGCAAGAGATGGACAGACAAGAAGAAAATAAGGTGATTTTTTCGTAGTCAGGTGTCATAATCCAAAATGTTAGGGTGCGTCAATAAAGAAAGCAGCGGCGATCTTTGGGGCATAAACATGTATTTTAAGTTTCAACAAAATCGAATAAAAATTGTGACCTCTAGGGATTCTATACAGGCTAAAAATGTGATCTTTCGTAAATTCAGGGGCATAATCCATAAAGTTACGGTCCAATACATACCAATGAATATCGAGAGTCACAACCTTTGCATCACATAGGGAGCTGTCATTTTGTCAACATCGATCCGATTTTCAAGAAATTCCAACTCAACAGTCATTATGGATGGGGTATTTGTGATATATTTGAACGGTTTTTTAAAATCAAATAAAAATTGTTCGACCTAAAAGGTCCATAGGCTAAAACGGGATTTCCATAATCTAGAAAGGTAAGGTCCGATACGCGCGAATATTGACAAAAACAGAGATCTTTGGAATATAAACACACATTTTAAGTTTCATCAAAATCGGATAAAAAAGTATGACCCCTAGAGTGTCCACAGCACAATATATTGGGGCTTGTTATGTTCTCTTCAAAGTTATTTTTTAAAGCCTTTAGTTGTTTGTTTTTAAAAATTACGCCTTATAGGCCTATGTCCAATTCTTCTTTAGAAATGCACAATATATGTAAGCCATTTAATTCATGTGGCTCCATGTCATCTCATAGTCTAAAATATTTTAGTGCCGTTAATCTATATTAAAAAAGTACTGGCAAATAAAATACTTAGGCGATTATCTTTGATCTGACTACCTTTTTTCATCAGCGATATTTCCACTATATAATCCTAACCCTAAACATTTGGTGATAAAAAAATTAAAAGTTGGAAAAAGGGTGTCGGATCAAACATAATCGCCAAAACTTACATAGGCCTATGTCCATTTTTTTCTAGGTTTCCTATGCTTATCCACATTTACATATATATGCACATTGTTGTTATGCCTGTAACTTTAGAGCGTTTCTTTTACTGTATGAGAAATATATCACAAACATCGTATAACCAGTATAGGTTTTTAGTAGGATAAGCCTATGGCTTTATGCTTGGCCTTAATCTGTTGTAAAGCATGTTTTCCTTTACTGTTCCTTTTTATTCATTAATTTCTTTCTCCTTTCTTCCTGTACGGTATAAAAGCTGGGAATCGGAAGTAGGCCTAAATTCTAAATCAACGTGAACGCTGTCTTATCTTGTGAGCAAATAATAGGGCGTGAAACGTGACTAAACTGACCCTATTTTCGACTAAATGTGACTGTTATTTCACTTACTCACGTATGAAATGATAAAATCAAAATGTAAAGTTTGTGGCTGCTTTTGAATGCAGCATAACACGGCATTATCGGCAAACCTGCATAAGGCAACGTTGAACAAAGGCGTCATGTGGGGTAGCGGAAGGTGGCGGATTTTCCACTTCCTGTGGCGTCACTGTTGTCCATATTGACATCATTGGGTGAAGCAGTCGATAGCCTAGACTGGATAACCTGCTCTAATACGCAAGATTCACTCCTACGTCACTCCTTTTCTGACTTGGATATATAGAAATCCGAATAGCGCAGTCATTTAGAGCATAGAGCAGATTATCAGTTACGACTCATTTCCAGGCGACATTTTGGGTCCCAACTATGACGCCATAAAAATTATGACGTCATGACATCATACAGCTTTACTTTTCAGAAGGTTTTATTTTTTTTTCTTGCTAAATAGGATAGTTATTCAGACTTTTCAACAATATTGTCCAATAATCAACTACTGTCTGTTCCAGGCGACACTACGACTCGAAAATTGCTTACTATTTCTTCAATTTTTAATTAAAATGGTTAAAACTTAACGACCTACCTGGAATTGTCACCCCGTTACTTTCTTCGTCGAGCCTTAACGCCTATAAGTTCGATAAAATCCTTTATTCTCTTGTAAATTTCACATTTTTCGACACTAATCAATTTCTCAAAACATAAACATTATCACTGCGCTTGCGTAAGTTGGGTCACTCGTATATCATGTAGGGGTATAAGGTATTCCACAAATCGGTTGCATTCGGTTAATAATGCTTAGCGCGGGAGGATTCGCAGGTTTGTTTTGCGGCAGTGCGAGTGTGTGTGTGTGATTGTATGCGTATGTGTGTGTGTTTAGGTTAATCGGTATTTAATATTCCTTAAAGATATTCATAGTTCTGCATGTCTCCTAAAATATTCCTCACAGAACACTTATTTTCAGCATTAGATGGCATGGTAACCTTTCTGATAAAGTGTAAATATTGTACGATATCTTATAATTTTATGAACTTAAATAGTTTTGATTACTGGTATCTATTTTTTTATTTATATTCGCGTTCCACAGGCACACACGATTTGTTTCAGATATTGTCGTAGATTAGATAAAAAAAAACGAATCGCAGAAAATATAATTCCTTGAATAATGGATCATCCTTTCATCACATGCATTTGCAAGTGCACGATGATGTGTGTATATAAGAAGGTGCATACTGGGTAAGTGATTATTGTTATTTACAATTTCAAGATGAAGATTACGCGAGATGTGAACCAATGTATCAATCGTTTATTTACTTATTTTGAGAAACAGATTAAAATGAATTTTATAAAAGTTCCAAAAAGGAGATTGCTTACGCATTGAATATATCCTTAAAATCCGTGTACGGGGCTTTGAAAAATGAATCATCTACAACGCAGGAAAATAAAAAAAGCAAGGTCAACAAATGTTCAACAAAATTAGATAATTTTGACCTGATGACAATAAGAGACCATCCATAAACTACACGGCAATGGCCAGTATGTAAGTGCAGTTCATTTAAATATGTTTCATCATTGCTCTTCGACTTTTACACATATGCCATGTTCTGCATTACATAACCTTGATGTAATAATTGTCTACATAATTGTCTATATAATTGAAGGTTTCATTACACATTTTACAACGCCACTTGAGAGAGAAAGATGAACAACTATCAAAAACAACTCTTTATCGGGCAATCAATGAAATGGGATTCAAGTACTACAGAAATCACGGTAAAAGATACGCGAAAGAAACTGTTGATATTGTTGCTGCCCGAAATAGCTATTTAAGAAACCTATGCAAATATAGGCAAGTTTTCCATACGTTCACACGTTTTTAATAATTATTTTATGAAAATATTAGATTAGTCTGTCGAACAAAATTGTATAACTCAATTACTTATTCAAAAGTTGGATATTTTTAAGAGTGAAGGCTATGAAATTATATACCTGGATGAAACATGGTAAATGCAAACCAAGCCATCCATGGAACATGGACAGAAAACAGGAAAGGTAATGACTTTTTTAATTGCTTTCTTATTACGTATACTTATGCAAGTTTATATTTTTAATGTAGTATCTATGGATAGACATATTTTAATCATATGTTATTATATTTATAGGGTCATTGGGCATAATTCTCCCAAACTGCAATGAATGCGATAGATTCATTCCTTCTGGTAAGGGATCAAGACTGATCATCTTAGATGCTGGTTCGGTTGATCGGGGTTACCAGTAAGGCACTGCGAGTTAAACCCAATAGAGATAATTCAAGGTAATACTTAACACTGCAATTTGGACGGCAGTCAAGTTGACGACATTGAAAGATAATAAATCTTGTCTTATCTGTGATGTTAAAAAGGGTTAAAACATTCATTTATGGAAGCCTTTACTACATCTTATAACATTTTAAAGTTTATCCACATTAAATCAAAAATATTTTAATTTTAGCACAAGAAAAGGCCTATGTCGCCCGAAAAAATACCACTTTCAAAATCAAAGACGTTAAACGTCTGTTCCTTTAGGCCAAGGCTAGTGTGACAACTACAGACTGGGCTAAGGCATGTCAACACGTCATAGACAAGGTGGAGGATCGGTTTTAGGAAGCGGGAAGATTGAATGAGGAAGTACCACCAGCCGTATTTTCGTTCGGGAGTGACAGCGAGTTTGGGTGTGAGAGTGAAGATTTGGGCGAGAATGTCAGTGGAGAGAGTGATAGTGAAAAGGTTACTGAGAATATGGATGGTGGTGGTGTTGCGAATGAAGATTCGAGTGATGATGATAAAAATGTGTGTAGTGTATGTGATTGTGAGAACCCACCGGGAAGTGAGTCGGGTGCGATTGTGGATTGGGTGGGTTGTGATTTGTGTGAAAGGTGGATGCATGTGAAATGTACAGGGAAAGAGATTGATGTAAGTGCAAGTGTGGTGAAGTGTGTAGATTGTTTGCGTAAATTGTATGATAGATAGCGTGAATGTAGGCCAGACAACTTCTATAATTTATATTGTATATAGTTGGAGCATTTTCTGTGAGTTTGTGTAAATAAATGATTTTGTATAAAACAATTTATTTTCCGTTTTCTTGTTTAACAGGTAGACTGGCAGAAACTTAATTTAGTTCACGACGAATCAATATGAATAAATTAAATGTAAAAAAACACCCGTGGTCTGAACACAAAAAAGGAATTACGTGCCCTTGATCTATCAGGAGTTGACCTTGTGTGGCTACTACCCCGTTGCGTTTTCTATCATATTATCGATTGGTTAGGGGCATTTCACAAAATAAAAAAAAACTAAATCAAACAAGAAATAGAGTAGGCTATCTATAAAAATATCTTAGGAGCGCCCCCTTTTCAATTGGATTAAAACTTTTAAAAAAGAAAAAAAAAACAAACAAGAAAATAGTATTAAAAGTCGTACAAAGCCAAATAAAAGCGACAGTTATATATCTATTATCCCAAAGCTAGATACTTCTAAATTTCCATGACGTGTCACTACAATATTAGGTCACACTTTGTATGTAGTTTATATCCGAAAGCCACCAGACTGGGGCCGCCAATTTAATATCTAAGGCAGTGGAGCAAACAAGTGTGGTCTGAAACCAAATAGCAAATTCATATATTACCTCCCGTAAATAGCTCATTAAAGCAAGTTATATTCTACTGGGTCGAAACAACTATTTAAACATGCAAGTAGGACGAAACGACCCAAAGTCAAATCCACACCCCTGTTCGATTTGGTTTATTCCAGATAACTAGGTCAAGCATGGCTGTCTTCAATACCGCGAAGTAAATAAACAACGATTTTTCAAGACAGAAATGTTATATAGCTTGATCTGAAATTAGTTAACGTGCGGTAGAAAGTAAAGGGATGACAATTCCAGGTAGGTCGTTAAGTTTTAACAATTTTAATTAAAAATTGAAGAAATAGCAAGCAATTTTCGAGTCGTAGTGTCGCCTGGAACAGACAGTAACTAGAAATTTTACTATAGGTAGATTCTATTGATTCAAATATACATGTAATACTATACTAAACAGCAAAAAAAAACACCCCAAAACGTCAGTACGACTTCAAAATTAGAGAGGCACTTTAATCAAATCATTCTAGAAAACTATTTACTAAATTTTAATGGATCAAAGCAATTTTATGTGAACAGTATGTTGACACATTAGTGATTAATTCATCACAATTCTAAGACATTACGAGAAGGTTTAGAGTCTGTACACAGTCTATACATCAGTATCTGGTGTGTCCACCGCAAGTGTCAATAACAGCAGCGCAGCGTCTGTACACGGAGTGGACCAGGCGGTTAATGAACGTCATTGGCACCGGAACCACATTCTTAGAAAAGCCTGGCGTAATCCACCGGCTGACCAGTGCATAACGTACCGTTCTGCTGTAAAAAGTCCCGATTAACTCTGGCGGTGTGGGCACGGGCGTTGTCATGCTGGAAAAATTTGTTTCGATGACGTGCGAAATGTGGTATGACGTGGGGTCTGAGAGCTTGATCGATGAAGCGCACTGTTATGATGTCGCCTCCTCTCTCTGGACCAAGATTTTGGAACATCACAGAAGCCACTCTCTGGTTCAGGCCGATTCCACCCCAAACTAGTATGCTTGGACCTCCCCATGAGTCTCGTTCCATGACACATTGGTCTGAATAACGCCGGCCACGTCGACGCCATTTTCTGGTCCTACCATCTGCAGTTCATACGCAATACGCAGTTCTCCATTGCCTGTGTCGCCAGTTCTTGTTGGGCAAAATGTCGATGGCGAGGGGTGAGGGTCGTTCCACGGTAAGGTCTATGGCAATGGATGTTATCTCTGGTGAGACGTCGGTGCACTGTATCGGTTCTGATGGGTATTCCGTGTGTTCCCACAGTCTGACGTGCTGTCTCAGATGTCTGTGTGAAGGGATTCTGCACGTGCTGTCGCACAACATGGCGGTCTTGTCGCCTTGTGGTAACCCTTGGTCTACCAGTGCGGGGGCGATTATCCGTGGTGTTGATGGCCCAAAAGCGTTGCTGAAGCCTGTAGATGGTCCGAACATTGACCTGGAAGTGATTGGCAACGGCTTGGGCAATGTGGCTAGCGTCGAAACTTCCAAGCGCCTCGTTCCTCTGAGGAGTCGTGGCATGTTGCTGATGTTGTAGTGCGAGTGATTCAATCAGGTGTGGGGGTGGTAGGGCTGGTCCCGGTGAACAGCAAGTGAAGCATGAGTAACATGAAAATCATGGAGAACATATTACCATCTCAGAAGTCAGGTTGCGATTTTGATAACATTTCCTGGCCTCAATTCTGTGTTTGGGAGCCTTATTGCTGAGGTAAAGTTGGAGATGTGGTCACAAATATACAATAAAACAGTTGGCAAGTTTTATGCAAAGCGTCTATTCGGAGTAAAATACCAACCTGACGATTTTTTTGCTGCTTGGTATATTTACACGGGGTTCAACAGCCTACTTTTCTCCTCCATCCGGACCAATAAAGATGGGTATATGCCAGTAAGACCAATGTGTAATACATGGTCAACAAGACATCTTAAATATAATTTTGAAACTCTTCCACTTCAAAAACCTTGAAATATAACCACCTTTCCGTAAAACAGTACTAAAATACTTCGCTACGATATGTAACCATACTGCGCCGAATAACTATTATATCATGAACACGATAGGTTGATCGAAAATACATAACTAAACAACCACAACCCACTGTGTCCTGAAATGAAATGCAGGATTGATTTACCTTGACCCAGGAAAACGTTAGTTACCCAACACTTCAATCCAACCTATCTGGAAAATATGCTAAGTGACTGTAGGAGGCTGTATCTTATACACCCCACAGTGTTTCGTTTGATTAGACCTAATCCCACTTAACACTGCTGTAATGGAAGCAAATTTCTGTTCCAAATTATGACTGGTCAATAGTCCGATTAACAACCAATAGCTAACTGTGTACTAATATTCGGCTTTAAACAAAGCTCAAAATTTGACCAAATATGTTTACCTAACGTTACGTCATGTCTCACGAAATTTATAACGCCCAATATTAACCAGTGCATAGCAGAATATTGCAGAAAGACTAATTACGTGACAAACGAGGCAATCAAACGTTTACGATGTAAACAATACTGTTTGGAGACGAACAATCCTTTCACTGTTTTTAATACCTAAATCACTGTCCAAAGTTTTTAGGGAAGACCTCAGATTAAACGAAGGGCTGTCATATTTCTGTACTTGGGATAGATTTGATTAAACAGGAAGAATACGGCACACTTCCTCAAAAGTTCACGTATCGGAAGCCAATCCAGCATTAGCCAGAAAAGGGATTTCTCGGGCCATTGCTTCAGGAATATGGCTGTAACTATGCAGACAGATCTTTCACCGAATAACGCCCATGTTTTAACAGATTATAATGTTATTAAAATAACATTATAATCTACTCTACTATGTGGGCGTACAAGAAAGAGATGGTAAAACACATGAATTAAAACACAGTCATCTGAAATAAATTAAATACACGGAAACATAGTTTGGTGGAGAAGTCCCGTGGAACTATCCTGTTAGCAACGCTTTAATTCACCAAGTAATATGTAAGACATAAACAAAAACTACCGAGTGAACTTCTGCAGCTGTTTGTACAACTTGTACGTATTTGACAAATTGTGGGATGTTTTTTATGAATAGTGATACAGCTGCACACATTATTCTGTAATTACCTTCATTCAACAGGAAATTACACCGATATAAGTAACGTGGAATCCAGGAAGTTCACTCGACAAAAAGGGGACATTTTTTAGACGAATCTGAGAATACGTAATGCTATTAGTACAATATTTAAAGGACGTGTCACTTTATTGAACATAGATCAAACTTAGCTTTGAGACTGGACGTCATGATGTACAATCGAAATTCCAGACAGGCAACTTCTCGATGCTTCACTGTGCAATCCATCAAGAAATCGCGTCCACGTGACAGCAGGTGTATGTATGTGGAGGTGGTAATTCGTTTTTCGGATCCAAATATTCCGAGTGTACGTAGGATGCTTTTTTATCGGCCAAATGAACAATCCTAGCAAATATGGACAACACACCGGTAAAACCTATGACCTGTAGTTTATGCATGCAGAGGGATACACACCCTCAAAACAAATATGACATGGTGATTATATAGACTAGCCTTTGGTTGCGCAGTGTGGCTGTTTTTGGCAATGTGAAATCTTACCCATTTCATATATCGACAGTATTTGGGCCACGATAACTTTAAGGTGAAGTACACTAATAGAGTCACTTATAACTGGTGGGGGAATGAAGTCCTTTGTAAATTCCTGGGTGAGCACCCTTTAACATATGCTCTCTATGGAGTGTTTCCGGATCTATTGCCTCCAAACAGCTTGTTAATAATACTAGCACTATTTATATTTAAGCGTACGCTCCCGTGGTCACGGTTGGGTTGAAAAAAACAACAGGAAGTTGTATGTGCAAATTGGAATCAATCACATGGATATTAAGGCACGTTATAATTTTTAATATATTTAATTTCATGGGGCACGGCGTTTATATAGACCTACATAGGTAAGTATTCGTGTCAATTTATCTTCATTTATCTTCCTATAGTGCCCTTTTGATTTAATGTTATGGACAACTACCCCATCAATAGATCAAGGTCTATTTGGTTTCAGAAATTTACGGAAGCTTTGTCTATTTCTCATATCTACAGACTTTTATTAACAGCATCTCGAGAAATTATTAGCATCACCCACCTCCATCGATAGAATTTACAACAT